GGCCAAAAGATATCATTTTCAGCACCATCTCTCCCTTAAATTCCCACTTTTTCTTCCTTTCCACTTGTTCTTCTGTTTCTTCAGGAACATAGTGAGCTATTTTTGCTTGAAAAGAATTGAAAAAGCTACGCTTGGAAAGACAACATTAGTGCATGCAGTAAGGAGTATGATGATTAGCAGCCATGGTATAGATCAGATGAGTGTGTTCCTCTTAGGTGTTCAAGTGATGGAAGAAAATCACTCATCCATTCACCATGTGGTTCTGACCCCTCTTCCAAAACCTTTTATTAGTCCGCCACCTCTGCTGTCAGAAAATATTATCTTTTTTGGACTTTTTCTTTCATTCTCTTCCCCGATTGATGTAGGATCTCACAATTCACTCCCCTTCAAGATTCAGCGTCTTGATCCAACCCCTTCGAGATCAAGTATTCTTGCCAACACACCATCTCGTGTTCATCCCATTTGGGGCTCACCTCCTCGCTGACATATGGCTCGATTTCTAGCTTTGATACCATTTATGGTTAGATTTAATTGTTCTATAAAGATTTTACTTCAAACATGTTAAGTTGATCTTGTTTTGATTGTTTTTAAGTGGTTCGATCTGGAGTATGTTTAGTTTCAGTCCCCAAGTCTGTTTCACATTTTACTTGCTCAAGAACAAAGGGATCCAATGTGTAATGAGGAACATGTTGAGGGTGCATTTCATGGCAATACCAAAGGGCAAGAAACCTGTTGACAGAACCAAATATCAGGAGAGCAAAGGAAAAGGAAGAGCTTCAAAAGGTAAACTTCCTCCTTGTCGTTATTGTAAAAAGAACCAATCATGCTCCTGTTGGTCCAAAAACAAGCAAGTTTATCATTGTGATTATGCAACCATAATGATTATACGAAGAAGTTTATGTCAAGAAAACCCAAGCCCAACATCTACAAGAGCAAACACATTGTACCAACAATAATTAAGAAGCAAATGTATTGTTTATGGCTTTCAATGTTGGATGACAAGGAGTCAACCTACGTGTTTTAAAACTGAGGGAAAACTCAAAAGAAAAAAACCAAAGAGAACAATATCTGTTAATAGTGGGCTTAGACGGTTACAAATGGTATCTGAGCCAGACACCGAGAGCATTCCAGGGAGGACTCTGGGCCCCCAAGCAGGTGGATTGTAAGACCTATTGGATGAAATTTCCACATCGGCTAATTTAGGGAATGATCATGGGTTTATAATCAAGGAATACTATCTTCATTGGTATGAGGTCTTTTGGGAAAGCTCAAAGGAAAGCCATGAGAGCTTATGCTCAGACAATATCATACTACTGTGGAGAGGCGTGATTTCTAACAAGACCTTACATCAATTGAAGCGAGAGAAACGAAGCATTCCCCTAACCCGTTACGTATCAACCTTAGTCTTAAAGAAAAGGAACGATCAAATACTCGAGACTTTATATATACTTGCTCAATTGTTGCATAACAAGATTTTCATGGTTTGGAAGGACCTAAGTTAATGATATTTATGACCCACATGGAGTAGAGATTGCAAGGGTCATCATGGTTAGAAATGCTTTCTTTGTGAACAATGACTCTTTATGTCATAATGCACTAAAGGCCGAAGTGACATCATCGCTTTGGTCATTACAACGACAAAGCTTTGATGCATTTGATGATTTGTTCAATTTAACCTCAGTTGTGAAGAAGGGAAGAAGCTCAGATTACCCTTTCGAAAAGGTGGCAGTTTGAGAGCCAAACACTTCATCACTATGATTTTGAGTACATTTTTTGGTTGATAGAACTCAGGTTTTTTTTATCAGAAGGGATTGATAACTTAGAACAAAATGAATTTTCTTTTGATTCAATTGATTTTGATGTTCAAGAATGATTATGAGCCTGCTGATGCAGCTTGTGAAGCTACAAACTACAAGGTAGTATCACTTGCTGATGCATATGAAAGTTGTAATACGATTCAATATTATTGCTTTAGCTTTGCACTTGGGGTAGTATCAGTTTTTGTTTTTTGAGTTGTGATCTTGAGGAACCTGAAGGGTTCGTGCATAAGGGCCAAGAAGATAAAGGTTAGATCATTTCTTATAAGGGAGTGAATTGTGAGATTTTACCTTGTTTGAGTAACGAAACATTCTTTATAAGAGTATGAAAACTTTTTCTTAGTAGACGCGTTTTAAAATCTTGAGAAAAAGTCTCGAAGAAAAGGTCAAAAGAATAGAATATTTGTTAGTGGTGCGCTTGAGCGGTTATAGTTTATGTTCTTCCTCAAGATCACCGATTCTTTCATTATCAATATAGTTGCAAGTGTAGAGATTTAAAGGAGAATTTGAACCATCTTTTCAGAGTAAACACGTCTCAACTCAAGTGAGGTTGACGACGTAACAGGTCAAAGCAGACAATATCTACTAGGGGTAAGCTTGAACGATTATATTAAAATATATATATATATATATATATATATATATATATATATATATGAAAGCACTCAACAAAACATGAGTTTCACCTTATTAAACTAAAAGAATTGACAAATAGAAAAGGAACCAAAATTGAATGAAAGAAATTTTTGTTGTTTAAAAAATTGGAGAGAAGAAAGTTTACTGATTTGGTGTAATGGCCAATTTAACTTTGACTTAAAAATTGTATTTGGTAGAATCATCATGTTTTTCAGCTCATTCCCCCGTTTTTCCACTAATGGGCTGACTTTTTCATATTTTTCGTCAATAATTGATTGAGATATTCAATAACAACAACGATCTCAACAACTCATCTCAATTTAAACCCAATTTATTCTCATATTGCAATACGTGATGCATCTTTTATGCGACGAGTATAATGAATGAAGGTATAACTTTGAAAGACAGGTTCATATGATTGAAAAATAATGGAGGT